TCTCCATCCTCTGCCCCCCTGGGGGAGGGCAGCAGTACATCAACTGCCACAGCAGCAACTCAGTGGTGCTTGAAGCAGTCATAGACCATTGTGGCCACCTGACCCACATTTACACCAGGTGGGCTGGGAGTGCCCACTAAGCCCGTGTGCTGCGCCACGCACCACTACCAGGACTGATGCAGACACAGGCCCATGCCCCAAGGATCCAAGATCTGACCATTGAGGAGGTCAGTATACCCCAAGCAATCATGGCAAATGAGACAGCCATATGTTCCCCCTCCCCCCAACCCCGCAAATGCCAGCATCAGGCAGCCCTGGGCCCTCACAGTGCTAGCTGCCTGCTGCTGCCGGAGTCCCCCAGTGGCTCCAGCCACCATCTGTGTTCACCTGCTGCACATGGTACATGCCAGCAGTGCCTGGTTGTGCCACTGTAGGGTTGAGGGGGAGGGGTTCTTGGGTGGATGTTGGGTGGCCTCCCCACACTCCCGCCCTCACTGCACAAAGCCTTGCAGCTGCCTGCAAAAGGCAGTCACAGGACTGTCTGCACGCTGGATGGCTGCTCCCAGCAGAGTTGCCCAGTGGTACCCGCCACTGCTTGTTTTCCACTTTTGCAAGTGGTGTGTGCCAAAGGGGCCTGGCCGTGCCACATGTAGGGTCCGGGGGGAGTTCTTGGGTGGGTGTTGGGGGCCCTTCACACTCCCACCCCTGCTGCAAAGAGCTCCACAGCTGCCTGCAAAAGGCAGCCATGGGACCGTCTGTGCGCTGGCTGGCTGCTCCTGGCAGTTGGCCAGCAGCACCCACTGCCACTGGTTTCCCCACTGCACATGGGCCAAGGGTGCCAACCCAGCCCAATGCCACATGCCCCACCTCAGGCAGGACTGTGCCAGTTTTTGCCCAGCACAGGCATCAGGCTGGGTCAGCACCCTGCACCACATACAGTGGGGAAACAAGCAGCAATGGGTACAGCTGGTTGACTTTGACGGGAGCCGCTAGCCAGCATACAGATGGTCCTGCGGCCAGCTTTGTAGGCAGCTGTGGGGCTCTGTGCAGCGGGGGCAGGAGTGTGGGGGCCCCCCCACTACCCACCCAATAATCTCCCCTCCCCAGCCATACAGTGGCGCAGCCTGGTCCTACCAGCATGCATCATGTGCAGATGTAAAACACAAGTGGCGGCGGGTGCCACCGGGCGACTGCCAGGAGCAGCCATCCAGTGCAGATGGTTCTGTAGCTGCCTTTTGCAGGCAGCTGCAGGGCTCTGTGCAGTGGGGGCATTAGTGTGGGGCCCCCCCAACACCCACCTTGTTTGCTTTGGTCCTGGCAACATTGCCCACTGGCTGCCGCTGCTACTTGTTTCCCCACTGCACGTGGCGCAGAGTGCCGGCCAGGCCTGATGCCATCCGCCATTGCCTCAGGCAGGACTGGGCTGGTTCTAACCACCACATGTGGCCCTGGGTGTCAGCAAGAACCAGTGCAGTCCTGTGCTAGGGGGGGCACGGGGCTGGGTTGGCACCCTGTGCCATGTGTAGGCCTACAACTCACCACTCACGGTCCCACA